CAGACGGAGAATCAGCCGCGTGTCCGTGCGTATTTGCGAACGTTTGGAGGGGACCCTCTCTCGCGAGGTGATGTATCGGTCCCCCGCGCCACCAGCTGTGTGTGTCGGTGTATACGAGATACCGCAATGTCGGTACCGTCGCGGCGCGTTGCGTTGCGTCGCGTCGCGTCGCGTAACGTAACGTCGCGTAACGTCGCGTCGTGTCGCACGGCGCCGCCGCCGGCGCGTGTATGTGCGACCGCGGAAAAGCGCGGACGCGCGACGGCGGCGTGAATGTATCAGCCGTTCTCACACGCATCACGCTCGTGCGCGGCGCGCATGCGCACCGTGAGCCGGTAAACGTACGTGCGTACGTACGAGCGTACGACGTACGAGTGAGCGAGGGAGTGAGAGGAGGACGGAAAAAGAGAGGCATGATGATGCTTCCGACTGTCTGCGTGAGCGAGTCGGAGTCGCGCGACGTCGGTGGCGGACAATGTCGTGATATTGGTGCGCTCGCGCCTACGTTCCTCCCGCGCGTCAAGCTCCTTGGAAAAAATTATGTGAAATAGAAAACTCCGAGAGAAGTATCATAATTTTGATACAATCTTTCTCTTAGTCTCTTCCACTTGGCATTCGGCAGGTGACATTCTAAAATGATTTGATGAAACACCAAGATAGAAGCAACTTACCAGAAATAGCGCAGAATTTCTCGAGTTTCTCTCAGCACCGCGCCACCCGTGGCACGATAGAAATTGGCTCGGGCGGACTTTGGAGATGGGCGGAAGGCACTTTCGCGCGGACCAACCGGCTCGGGTCGCGTCCGCGTTTACGAGGCGACGACGCGTCGTTCCTCGTCACCTTTCATAAGTGCGCGCGCTCGCAACCGGACGGCGGCACCCTCACCGCGGTGGTGAGCGGCAGCGCGGTCGATCGTTCGTGTGTGTGTCAACGGCGTGTCCGTGAGCCGGCGTACCGGCCATCTGCCGGTCACACGCGACAGCTGAGAAATACGCGCGCCAAAACCGTCGCCGCGCCGCCTCTTCCTCGCGAGGGCCGCGTCGCGTCGCGTCGCGTCGCGTCACGTTGCGTCACGTTGCGCCGTCGCCACCAGGCTTCGTGTCGTATACCCGATACGTCCGAGCTGTTCCCCGATGATATCACGACATTGACTTGACATGCAAATCTCCGCGGGCGAGCGAAGATATCAAAAGAATAACCCTGTTTTAACGGGCAACCGGTGATAACCACCCGATAATATCGGCTCGTTATTATCGCGATTACGAACGCGCCCCGTGTCGTTTCACGCGCGTCATTGTATCCCGTCGAGAATCGTCCTCATCGAGGTTATCGGCTAGGAATTGATCCCGTCAAACGTCGGCGGTCACTTCGCGCGCCTCCGTCCGGTTTACCCGCCAAAATTCCGTGGGCCGCTCCTTCGTCGCCGAGGATTCGCCGCCTAGGCGACGATAACGCCGTATCGAGAGATATTCCCGTAGCTCTCCTTCACGTCCTCGTCCACGTTGCGCGACATCGGTTATCGGCCACTTTCGACACTCTCGCACGCATTCCCGCGTTTCCGGAGCGCACTATTACCATACCGGTCCGCCATGCTCGGGGGTGTTGGCGAACAAAGTGAATCTTCTCGTTTTTCCCTTCTTTCTCTTCCCCTCCCTTCCCCCTTCTATGTCCCTTTTTCCTTTCTCTTTCTCTCTAAACGACGGATACCGGGTCCCTTTAATCCGGGCCTCACTATACCACGGCAACGGAACCGGGGGGGGATGGAGGGGCAACGGACAGCGTTACGTAGACAGCACTCGCGAATTATGCAATTTAGTGACGTATTAATTTGACAACGACCGTACAAGCGCGTACGTGCGCACATACGCGCTTTCGACGATCTTGCCGGACACTGATGCCTCTCGTTTCTTGCCTGGTCTTGCCCGAAACTCAGCGTACGATCGTCCCTTCCTTCGCGAAAGGAGGGGTATTCAGCTGCAGGGATGTAGCGGGACGGAAAGCGCGACGGGTCCCTCCCGAGAACGTCGTTGCATCGAAAGTGATGAGAAAATCGATGAAGGAATAACGAATATAAATTATCGCCGACAAAAATTGTATTTTTGTTTTACATTGAAATCGATTAAATTATCGATAGTCTTATTTATATTTGGCACGTAATACCAACTGTATAGAGATATAATATCGCAAAAGAAACATTACGCATCTTTACAAAAAAGATAGAATTCCATAAAAATAATGGGTTATATTTTTAAACAAGATCACATTTTTTTTCATAAGATTCTTTCTAGTTCTTAGATCTTTTTGATTATTTTGTTATGAAAATATACATGAACGAATAAATCAAATATAATACGATATACTATTAATTTTCTGTTAGACATTTATGTGATTATATTTAAAAATTTAAATCACGAAAATTTATATATAGTAAATGAAGAAATGATGACATTATTACATTACTACATATTGCGTTGTCATTATAGGAAGTTATCTAATACAAAATTAATCCAAGTTTTTCATTTTACAATTAAGTGTTGATTGATTATATGATATAAATATATTATCAAAGCACATTATAAAATATTAAGCTAAATGTGCTTTATAATAAAAATACGTAGAATGGAAACGTTGCGTACACTCAACTTACATATTTTTTTATATTTCTGTCAGTTTTTCGCTCTATGTAATCATTGCAAGAAAAATGTATGAGAAAATGTGCTATAAGAGAATTGTAATTTAAAGACTAAAAGTTACCTTAGAGGGATTTTACTTATACTTTAATTATACGTATTTGTAAACTAGCAATGTTAAATAAAAATAAGATATATAATTCATAAAAATGAAAATTATCATGACGAAACGTGTTTCACGTGTTGCTTACGTAAATATCAATAAGATAGTACTTTTTGTTTTTTTCATTGTGCTTTCTCGGGAGTTTCGGTAATCTTAGTACATGCCTGAATCAAGTCGAACCAAGAAGAAGGGGGGCCCGGTGTATTCTTCGTAACGTATTTATTTGAACCCTTCGAGGCAAGTACAAAAGGATCGCATCCTATGTAGACCGTAGGGGAAGCACGGTACGGTTTCCCTTCTTGCCCTTCTTACCGACCTCCTTCTACTTTTTCCTCTAAACCCCTCGTTCAAGCCAAGAGTCATCCCCCGTTCCCCTACTTTTTTCCTTGTCGTTTTTAGAGCATTGTCAGAAAGGTACACAGAAATATCTTTAAAATACAAATGCAGAGAAATCGATAAACAAGGATTATATCATATATCAACGATCACGAAGATCTCGGGCTTTTCCACTTGCGGCTGAACGTTGATCTGCATCGCCGAGTACGTGATAGCTTTTACCTCTGCGCCCTGCGTGTGCTTGCCAATCACGAACTCTTCTCCGTACGCGGTTGCCTTGATTTTAAACTCTTCCCGATTGAATTCAGTAATCTCGACTTTCTGATGACAGATGCAGATTTTCACCTTTAGCTTCGAATGAGGATGTAACAAGTTTTGCATGATTCGATTGAAAGGAACTATTCAATGGTGTCTTCAAAGTTACAATAGTAAAGTAACATAATTGTATATAGATAAAACACAGAAACTATATATTACTTCAAAAAAAGTAAACATGATAAAAATATAGAAGAATCGGTTAACATTTTTAACAAGTGTAATAATTTTCATTATCTCATCAATTCTTTCAAAATATAAATTTTTATACAACTTTATGTAATTATATTTCAAGTAATATCTAAATCAATAACAATATCATTAATTTGGATATTACTGACGTTGTCAAACGTAATAGTGAATTATCAACATATACTTATTTTAATAATTGATAACAAGAAATTATACCTTGGCAACTATATATGGCTCGGCACTGAACATAAAGAGTAACTCGTCAAGGAAGTGAAAGAGCAGACTTTCCATGTCATCACCTTCGGCCTCGATGTGATGCACCTGCGTGATTTCCACGCGTTCGAGATCCGTCATATAACCGAACATAGCCATCGCGCATTGTTCGAAAGCCTCCTCCAGCGTGTCGCCCCATGCGTGTAATCTAAGGCACATAAGGCATAAAGGTAAATTGGCCGATTTCCGTTATAAATATTCGCTTTTCGAGATCACTTTCGAATGTGTCCATCGATTTTTACGCTACCGCTTGCGCGCTCTCTTCTAGGTTAGCCGGCAAACTAAACACGCATAAAGACGCTTAAAATACAAATGATAATACTTACTGTACATCCGCGGTGTGATCCAGATCTATAACAGAAAGAAGTAGATTTTTTTCTATGAATATTCTCATTCCGACTGAGACTGAAAAGGAGTTGTCTCATAATTGGCAAAATTTGTGTCAGTCGCATGGAACGATAATGAGGTTAGGCCCCGAAATTGTCGCGCGAAAACTCACCAAAGTACATCTGACAGATAGAAATTTATTCGAGAAGACATCGCACGCAAAACGATAATGCCGAGAAAGAAACACGCAATCGGCATACTCACACTCGTATTTGGCAGGCGGTATCTCGTGATCCTCGTTTATTACACCACCCATGCTGTTCGCGTCGTCCATGCTGTCCACACAGCTGATTCTCCCGCACGTAAGCGTGGCGATCAGCTGATTCGCTCACGGGTTCAATCAACGGCGATATAGTTCGTGTAAGTGAGTTCACTCCGGCTAGATGACGCTACTTACTAAGCGAATAGCTTCGCGATGATATCGACTGAAACTGAAAGTTGTAGCTTGGGGATTATACATACCGACGAGAACTATAAACTCGAACGGATTTAAAAAATACTAGACATTATCGAGCGCATATTCTCTAATTTCCTTCTTACTTTTCATTTAATTTATAGATTTATCCAATATTATTTTCTATTTATCTTTATCAATAAAAAAATATATATATATGTATATAATAGGAATGGTTTACAAAATTTATCTGAAACAATTTTAAATATATTCAAAAAGAAAAGTTTTTATTAATATATTTATTAATAGAAGCAAATGTAAAATGTGCTTGCAATTAATACTATTATATAATTACTATTATACTGTAATTCTCTCGATATAACTATTAAAATACGTAATTTCTACGATGCTAGCTGTACATGAAAAAAGTGTAATGAGAGAATTAATCAGTATTGCAGAAAAAAGCTTTAACATTTTGATATATTCAAGGCAATGTTTTTTTTAGAATATATAAAAAATATACTATTTATAAAATTTAATCAATATCTAGAGATTTATAATTATAGAGCTGTTAAATAGACTTTGTGCTGCCAATCATAAAGCATTAGAGTTGTATCTTTATCATCTTGCTGATAGATAATAGAATGATAAATATTATATTTAAAGGCAGATTTAAAGAAAGTCATCATTGAAGACTAAAGCAAAGTTTAATGTTCAATTTGAGAGCTTTCTACATTATAGATAATTATAATATCATAATATAATTAATAGTACTATGTAAAGTGCTAACAGTTTTCTACATTATCCACGAGATGCTCTATTGAAAATGCGTTCTTTTTAAATCTTCAACAGGCCATCCAATTCAATAATGAAGACGAATAAAACAGATATATCTAGAAATTGACAGAAATAATGAGACAGAAATAATGATAATGACAGAAGCGAATAAGCTGACGATACTGGTAAGTGTACAGAAGTGACAATTGATCAATTGATTCATCTGTTAATTAAAAAAAAAATCTATTAATAAAAAAATGCCAAATGCAAAACTTAAAACTTAATTATTTTTAATCTAATTTTATAATTATTTTAATTAAAATTATTATTTAATTACTATTTATCTGTATTGTGTATTTTATAAATATATAAATCACAGTTTTGCAGAAAATGGGCAGATAAGACCGATTACGAGATAATTTTTTTAGTGTAACACGAAAGAATGTAGAATGTAAATATTTAATCTAGCGCGGATTGATCGTTTGTTTTATTGCAGCACGGTGAAATGTAATGCAAGATTGACACTGTTTTGCAGCAGCAAGTTTGATTCTTCACCTCACCACCGTCGTTTAGTTGCACCTGTTTCGTTGCCCACGAAACCAAATGCGAGTCGTTAAACGTAATTATATCGATCATTGTGCAACAGTGTGCGGTGGTGTGCCCACCACGCGGCTGTGTGCCTTTCGTTAAGTGATAACGCGTGCGTCGGGTTGCTAGAAGTAGTCACCGTTCGGTGAACGGTGATCGGTATAAACAAGCCAATGCTACTCGAGAGAGGCCTACATATCTTTCTCCTGAACTAACAGAGAAGCAGGGACGTTTTATTATTTAAATTCGCGAAATACTACAAACCCGAATTGAAGCTCCAAGCGACAAAAAATTTACCGAAGAGATAAAATATATTATACATAGAAAGCTTATATTCATGTGTAATTTTTGAGAGTTAAGGATCATATTCCCCAAAACTACTTTTATTTACAATTTTTGCAAATGATACTTTGTGTTTAAATAATTTTTTACGTTTTAACCGCCCACTTTTTCCTTTCTTTACGTAAATAAGGACGTAAAATAGATATGACTTAGGGCCCATAGATAAGCTGAAACGCTACTGACGGATATGTGCACACGCACCCGTTTTTTATGCAATGGGGTAGGAAAAGACGCGTCGATTACTTCTGATCGCTATGCGCGTCTTTCTTTCTTTTTAATTTGACAAGGACTATCTTTTTTTACCTTTACAAGGACTCGTTGCACTATCGCTTGCGCTCTGATCCGCGCGAGTGCATTTATGCAGATTATCATGCAATATGTGTCATACAAGAGATGTTGGTGATGAAAATGCAAATCGGCAACTTGTTTACCATGTATATTAAATACGATTATTTACTCGAGTTGGTCTACATCAAATATATTAAAATGATAACATCAACGAAAATCACATGCGCTTCCTGTACGTTTAAGAATTATTATATAATTTTAATTATTATTTATGCAATTATATTATTACATTACGTATTATATGTTATTAATACAGAATAACAGAAAATTAATAAATTTATAAATATTAATAAATTTATAAATTGTGCATATAAATTATCTTCTGTTTTTTTGTGTTGTTTAAATATACGGTTTTTCTTAATGTGCAGAGAATAAGAATTGAAAAGTGATGCATGCTATCTATTATACATTATTGTTGTTTATAGAGTCAATGAGGAAAACAGTGAACAGTTGCGAAATCAAAAAAACACTAGCCTTTAGCTAATTTGTGGTGTGCCCCTTCATTATCTACACACCTTATTATACCAGATGTCACACGCAATATTGTCGCAGATGTTACATGTTTATTAGTAGAGACTAGTAAGTGTAGCTTACGGTTCTCTTAAGTACTAAGCCGGCCACTTTTGTCTGACAATAGAGTAAAAAACATCAAATGATCAAGAGTAAGAACCTATTCTTAACTAATTTAAGAGAACTTTACCACACAACAGTATTACGTCATAATCAGTCATTTGTTCGATGATTAGGAACGTGACTAATAATAACAATTGTATGGTAATATCTTAAAATTTCTCTCTTACAAAGAGAATATAGTTGGCTATTTCTTTTCACAAATACAGAAATTTGATGTGTTCTCATTTAAATTGAATTACTCATTTCACTATATTGTGAGTACACAAATGAATTGCATTGTATGATACGTGAGAATAAAATGAAAACATGAATGTCACTCCATGAGGAGATTCCAGGACTGCCGAGTATCGTAAGGTGGGGTGTCTAATGAGAAAGGAAAGCTCACACGCGCACCATTCATAGTTATACAGCTAATACATAATCACTGGTCCATATAGCAGCCTCCGCATCCGATGCACTGATATATCGACATATGTTCGTCGTGCACATCTATGTCACAGTGGAGTCTCGTCGAGAATGGCATCGTTTCTTCGGCATCTCTATTTTTCCCTCTACCTCCTCCCATGTACGTCCTTAGAGAAACTCGTTTTTAACCATCGGTGCGATCTATTCCAAGGGTAGCTACTTCGCGCATTCATGATTTGGTCTTAATTCCATCGCAACTGAATAAACGCGAAGTATGACGCGATCCAATCTGCAAGCCAATCGCCAATCGCCTTCATTGCGAGGGTGCATACAAGGTTACAAGGTCACGGAAGTCCATTTGCTTAGCGTTTGCGTGAGATCACATTAAGATCGCAAAGAAAATATATCTTCTTTCCTGAATTCTAGCAATGTTTTTTTAATTTGTTTTGGATTTTTTTTTTATTTTTTTCTAAATTATTAATGATGAGCAAGCTTATAATAAGCTAGTAGAGTAACAAGGTTTTAATGACAACTGGTAGCTATTATGGATAAAAATGATTACATAATATTTACTCATAATGACGATCGGTTTTATACACTTTATAAAAAAATTTCTATATTTATTGAAATTTCTTTAGATTAGATCTAGACTTAATCTATACAAATATAATTTTATTAATTTTTTTTTTAAATTTTGAAGCTTTCAGCTTCTTTCCACATAGCCTTTACATTTAAATTTATTTATAATACTGAAGAAAACGTGTATGACTCGATGATATTATATGACTAAATAATAGCTTATTATAAAGCAATTATATTATATTATTTGTATTATAACGATATTTTTCTGTTTAATACTTATTATAAATCTTTAACAATCGGTAGATCTATTTTCTTCTCAATCGCTTTTTTTCAAAGTATAATGTACATTTATCTCATTTTAAATTCAGAAAGGACATTAATGTCAAAAGGAATAAGCACCTTATTACTCCGCACATATTTCTCGGAAAATTGCTTTACGAAGAAATACAATGTACTGATCGTGCGCAACGCAATTGCACCAAGCCCAAAATACCGATGCAGTGACAAAGAAAAACAAACTAGAAAGAAATAGGATGGCCCAAAGAAAATGATCTTAATTACCTAGTTGTTATATCCTAGTTATTATATATCTTTTTGTTTTGCCTTGACAATCGTATTTTTCATTTTCTATATCACTCGCTGAAGATGCTCCGTACTAAGAGAAATGCATTCTTTGGAGCTGTCACATCTACGTTTTAGTTTATCGCCGCTGACCAAGTGCCGCTGCTGCTCCTCGCCTCTCACGTGTTTAATGACATGCAATTTTGCAACGTATCTTTACCGAGTCCTTGGGCCGGGAAACTATATAAACCGAGTGTTTATAATTGACCAGGCTAGCTGCCAGGATTTTTAATCAGGTAGGATGTCGTTCTATGCACTCGCCCTCTTCTGCGCTACCGCGTTTGTGCTCGCCGCGGCCGAGGATCTAGAGCTTCGTAAGTTCTTTGTTTAACCATCGATTCCTTTTTGTCGAATTTAAAAATCATTTCTATTAATTAGGGTTTAATTGATTGTCTATCTTCTTTTGAGCTTATCTCCAACGACAAATAATTAAATAAAAAAAAATTTAATCAATTTCAAGCAATGTTAAGAATTTTAGATTTCACTTTTTAGTGTTCAGATAAAAAATATGTATATTTTCTAATTTTTAAATTTCATGTGCCATTGTATGATGATCATTTTCTCTGTGATAGAATGTTTTGTTGGAAAATATTATTTTTCAAAAATGCATATTTTATTGAAATTGTGCAATATTTTTAGCGTTATTTTTATATAGAAATAGGCAGTTTTTGCATTTTGAAAAACTCAGCCTGTTTAAGTTTTCTTAATTACTGAACAGTTTGAAGTGTTAATGTAATATAATGACACATAATTAAATAATCTGACAGATATTGATTTAATATAATTAATTCTTAATAAATTAATTAATATGTTATTGCATTATCAAAGGTTATGAATTATAACTGATGTTATTTTTACAATGTGATATTAAGATAAAAAGTTTTAATTAATTGTAAGAGTAATATGTATTAGTCACATTATTATCAGTGTGTTATATAAATAAAATATGTAACACAATCTTTAGCGCATTTGTTAACATATTATTTATATTGCAAATTTACTTTTGTTTTCATAGCTTGTTTTACTTTATCCATATAGAATTGGCAACTATTTTTAAATAATTAATATATTACACAATGAAAATTATTTTTTATATAAATAATATAAGATTATTTTTTCATCAAATTATTTATTATTTACAACATTCTCCATTTACTACTATTTGTAATATTTTGAATAAATATTTATGTATGAAATTATATTTATATTTAAATGTATATTTATGATTATTAAATGATTAGAGTAATTTCAAATGTAAGTTTGCATGTGAGCAAAGTTATTTACGGTTGAATGAATAATAATTGCACAAGCTCAAACGTTTATTAGTCATACACTTTTACTATTTTTCACACATGATAACCACTAATCATATTAATTTCAATAGCAGTCGCTTTCTTTTTTGATGAGATAAAAAATGTGTTCTACGAAAATTGATATGCAATTGGTCGGCTAGTTTTCTTACCGGAGAAAGGAAAGTTTCGTTAACATTAACCACAATAGGTTCAAAGCTCGTATATAGAATTTCCCAAATCAGTGTTGCACAAGATCGTATTACAATGACTCATAGTAATAAATATTCCAGTTGAATATTTGTTAAACTGAAATTTTAAATATTGTGAATTAATGAGTATTGAGTAATTATAGATATACGATCAATGTCCGAATAATATTAATAAAAAGATTAAGACTTTATTAATTTTTATCTCATCTTAGTATAATAAATATTTAAAATGAATTATTAATTAGTATAATAATTATTATATAATATATACATTTATATGTTTTTTTATATAGCCGTGCAAACCTGCCAGCATGATTCACCTGACTATTCGTCTTGCCTGAGACTTGCGATACAGGAAGCATGGCCGAACTTTATCCCAGGTATATTAAAAATGTTAAATATTTATGTCTATGTGAATTGACTAAAATTATTAAATTTACATTATAATTAATCATTATTTGCATTATAAATGCATATGTCACCATTTAATTTATGTTGATATATCGAATTTTGTTTACACGAGTTTATTTTTCCGAAAGGTATTCCGAAACTCGAGTTGCCACCTTTGGACCCGTATTTTACTGATGAACAGAGGACCGTATACGAAACCAATGAGATACGCGCAGACATAACAGTCAAAAATGTCAACACCTATGGACTTGCAAAAGCTAACTTTTTGGCTGTGAGAACACACCGTACCGATGATTTCTTCAAATTGGAAATGGATGTTGATTTGCCGAAGGTGCTTATCGAGGGTAATTACAAAGCGGATGGAGCCGTGGGATCATTCCAAATTGGAGGTGAAGGTATGCATTGGAGGTGAAGGTATGCAAAGTAGTTGTTCTTAATACTTGCAAAATTGGAATTAATTAAAAAAAACTTTTTTGCTACTTTATTTATAAATAATTTTTATGATGTATATTTTTTGTGCTTTTGTAACATATTTCTAGAATTTATTAGATTGAAATATTATGAGCACTATTTTTTAAGGTCTTTTTATTAGTAAGATTGATTTCCATAAAAACTGTATAATATTGTACTGTATAACTGTATAACTGTATAATCTATGTGGTAGGATTCTTCAATATTAGCATGGAAGATATCAAAGCTACATGGTCAATGGAGGGACCTGTAGCTAACGATAGATGGACTATTGAACATTTCCATCTGAATCCAGAAGTCGGAAAAATGCAAATCTGGTTCAGTGACATGTTTAACGGCAATGAGGAACTCAGTAAGAAAATCATTTTTTTAATTGTTCTTTAGCTGAGCATATTATCAGGCATATTATTACGTAAGAAAGTTTCACATATTTCCATATTTATGAGCAATAACGATCGATTTCTTCTTGTTAGCTGAAGTTACATCAAAAGAAGACGCGTATTTCTTTTGTATTTTTATTATCGTAACTGTCTGTTTTATCCTTAATTATCTTGTTATATCACTTCAACAATTTCGTGATAATTATTCGATGGGAAACTTTGATACGTATGCTGTAATTCTTCGTTGCATAACACGGATTACGAATCTATTTAATTTATTTTTTTACACGTCAATATCCTTCGAAGCGTGAACGTTACAGTTAAATTTTTACTTTCAGACAATGCCGCCATGAAATTCGTGAATGAATACTGGCCGACGTTGTATCGAGCGATGCTACCGTTCGTGGCAAAGAATTGGGACGAACATCTCACGGAAATCAGTAATCGCATATTCTCGAAGATATCCTTCTCGAAGACGTTCCCTTGAAATCCTTGAAGACGATTCTTCGTTCTAACGCACATAGCATAGTAGTCGAAATATGATCGAAGAAGCGTCAAATTGGAGTCATCAAATATTTTAGATGACTGCTCAAAATCAGCGTGGAGGAACGCGAGTATCCTCTCTCTGGAGCCATCGAACATCCCGACGTGATATGTTTTTTCTTCTTACTGTGCGTATTCCTGATAGTGTTATTTAGATTTGCACGATGTCGACATGCGTGTGAATAGTGAATAGCGACAATGGCGAGTTTATTATGTTTATAATTATGTAACGTGTAAACATAGATTATTCTTAGCATTGTTATTATTATTGTGTTACTACTAGTGAAGTTGTTTATGTAAAACATAGACGTAATAAATATCAAGAAAAATGTAGAATGCCAGATACATCAATTTAATAATTTTCCCAAATGATTTTCAATCCTGTTAAAAATTTTTTTCCAAATTATTGTTGATATATATTTATATACATATTCAATTAGTTTCGTATTATGTGAAACATAGTAGATAATGATATAAGTAAAAAATAATTTATATCTAAAACAAATGGACATATAAATGAATGATGCATATAAATAAATTAAAACAGTTAATTTTTATCATACATTTATATAATAAAATATACATTTGTTTTATTCTAACGATATACCATTAATTCCATTGTGCGCTAAAAATGCAATACCACATTGAAAACTTAATACCATAACACTTTATATACCTCTGCTTTACTATGATATAAGCAACAATTATGTATATTATTTAGTATAATATAATATCATATAATATCTTCATCTAGGAGAATTAACGATCAATGAGAATTATCTATTATAATCTTTAAATTTAATTGTCTCTTTCGGACAACATCTCTGATTATCGAATCAAACAATTAATATTTTTTCCACGAATAAGCAATCAATCACAAAAAATAAAACATAAACATTAACAAATATCAATCTTGAAAAAAGTGTCAAAACAAAATTAGTTCATTACTTAAAAATTGATAAGCGATTTATGTGCGCCCGCGCATTGTGTTTTTTTAATTCTAATGTGTGATATATTCCACTTTTATGCTACAATATATTATTTTCTTTTCGTGCATATTTAAAATCTATCGTTGATTTCAATGAGAGGAAACTAATAATTACTAATGAAAATACGATATAGATATATCTTAAGGTATAAGAAACGATTCCACTGGCACGTGTCGCAACAATTGATTGACAATGCCAGCAAAGAGTGCCGATAATTTTTTCTTTAGCTGCGGTTCCATCAATTTCAACACTTCTTGTCCATTTTCTCGGAGAAAGAGATTGATTGCCTCGGCTGTAAAAATAGAAAACAATATAATGTTAAAAATACACTAATAATAAATATTAAATAAAGTTATATATATTCTAATTATATTATAACCATTTCTGCAATAATATTATTAATACCATAAATTTAATAAATTTATATTTTTAATTTTATAAATTTAATACTTTTTAGAATGTGTATTTTTATATAATACATGTATACATTATAGAAATTGTTCGTGCAATTTGCTTACTGAGTATTCGATTGTTGTTGAAAATCTTGCTAACTCGCATTTGCACATCTTTCACTCCGAGCACAACATCGAGGTTATCGACATTTAGATATGTCTTTTCTTCTTGTGATTTTGTTGAAACAGTTCCTCTTACTAACGCTCTAGCATCTCCGAAGCGCGCGTGAAACGTGCCATTTCCACTTGCGGGCAAAATTATTAATACGCCAGAACTGTAAGAATTCAATTTAACAAAATAATGATTTCAGTAAAAATAAATATAAAATAATATAATTATTTAAAGAAAATATTTTTTAAAAAGTTTATTTGACTACAAATTTTATTACTTACAAAAAACGAAACTTACGAAATGCATATTAAGATAAATTCTTTTTCCCAAAAGATATAATTTTTATTCATATACATGTAATACAGGCTACACGTGGAAAATTATTTTGACACTTCATCTGATTTGCATAATATTTTTCTTTTCAATGAAAAGAAAGACAGTTACAAACCGAATTGACATACCTGGAATAATGTGCGTCTAGTATAAGGGCCGGTAGTCGCACAATCGCTTGAAAGGGTGACCCGAGTTTGATATCCTCCACCGTATAGTTACTTGCGCCCCTTATATAAAGATCCCGTAATTGAATCTTATAACCGTTCGTGCCACCTGTCAGGGAGAGAGTCAGCTCGTCCATCTGTTAGAATATGTAGGATATGATAGCAAATGTAAAATGGAGCAAAGTTAAGACTTTATTAATTCATTATTAAATGCATATTATATTAATAAATAATACATTTTATATGGTTTCTGGTTTTAAACAATCTGCACAAGATTTTTTTATGTTATATTTAAGATTTAAGATTTTTTTATGTTATATTTAAGATTTAAGATTTAAGACTTTGAAATATTTCAAACACGTACTCTTACATCATATGTATCTATTTATAACAAAAACAAATTAGAAATAATTAAGATATAAGATATAAGATATAATCCCTTTTCTGCAATATTATAAGTAAAAATTTTGTTTATTTAAAACGCTGTTTTGAAACAAAATTTGTCGAGGTGAATTGTATTAAATACAACATCAGATACACCTAATATTGCTTGTATTATATTTAATTTAACAGACTGAAAACAGACTGAACTTACACGGAACGGTTCTACTGAGGGCAATTCGATTTCAGGTATTCCAACACTCAAATATGGTCGCAGATGGTGCAGAGCGTCGATCAGACAAGTTATCAATTTCGGATCGCTTTTGGAACATTGCTTTACATATTCAGCTGCGAAAAGAATATTATTACACATGTGTTGAGTTTATATTCACTTCATCATGCGTGCTATTTATTCACATCCATTTTACCGTTCTAAACGCATCGTGATTGCGTAGTTCTTTAAATTATTTTTTTTGTTCTTTATAAAACTAGACAAGTTCTATCGTATAGGTAAAAGCGTCGATGAGTAAAAAGCGTGTTAAATTCTACGCGTTAAAAGTGAAAGTACTATCTCATAATGAAAATGCACTTCAAGAGTAAGTATTGCAAATTGGTACAGTTGCAAAAGATCATTTATGTTACAAGTCTTTTTCCGACGTTTTTTCTAACGCTTTGCAAAATCATGCAAAAAAAACGATTAATACGCTTGACGTGTAATGAACAGATTGCATAATTAGATCTCACAATACATAGATACATAGATACTAGATATATATAGATATATATACGCTCACATATGTTCAAATATTTCCATTACAAACGCAATATTCTATTTTAATTTGTATTTTTTATTTTTTATATTTTATTTTTTTAATGTTAATTTACGAAAAAAATATGTAAATGATAATTTTACGTTACGTTAATTACCAAACAGAATTTGCCAATTTAAATAAATTAAACAAATATAGTTTTTTTAGGTTTATGCTGAACTTTGAACGTATTTCATTACAACATGTACCATGGTATTTTCTACGGAAATGAAGATCCGGCCTTCGCGACAGTACAACATTATTGCGTGCAGAAAATTACACATGACTTGAGTTAAAACAATTTCCATTATTATAAGCAAGTTTTACATATGTCAAAATTGTCAATATCAAATTATCAAATTTTTTCACATTATGCATTACGCATTATATTCGAGATTTTCATCGATATTACTTTTCTTCTAATTA